GATCACCATGCATTTCTTCTGAGATGCCTCTAGTATGAAGCATGTTTTGCCAGTTGCTCCGCCCGGAGACTCCAGGCCACGCAGCGTGGGCACCGGGCTCCTTAGTTGGTGAAAGCAGCTTGGGGGGGTGTGTCGCAGTTTGTGGGGGGTTGTTTTAGGGAAAGGGGTGGAAGGAGACCGTTCTCTCTGACTGCACTTGCTTTGGAGGGATGTCTTTCATGACCAGGGCATGAGCCGGAGGCCCTAGTTCAGGCAGAGCCCTGGGACCACACCAGTCCTGGCTCTCTGAAGCTGGACCCAGAGTGAGGCATGAACCCGGCTCTTCAGAAACAAACATAAGGGTTCGGTCTGTCCTCTCCTTGGATCCGTTTCTGCTTTCTTTTCTTTTTCTTTTCCTTTTTGGGGGTGGGGGTGGGGCAGAGAGGGCAGGCCACGGGACAGGAGAGACCAGGTGAGCATTACTAATCGCCCCGTTTAGCAGATAAACCAGCTGCTGCCACGGCGGAACTGTGCTTCACAGGTGTCCCAGTGACTGCTTTTCCTGACCGTTGGCTCCAGGCCTTTCCTTCCTCTTGGGTTGCCTCCTCCCTGCCCCAACCAAACCTACCTCCCATTGGCTCTCATTCCTCCATGGCTCGTCTACCCACCCACCCAAACGGCAATCCTCGGGCCACTTCTTTTTCTTTGTAATGTATCCATTCGCTTTGGTTTCTCCTTTTTGGGGGCTTCGTTCTCAGCCAACCAACCCCACGATAGTCCTTGAATCTGCCTTCTGTCCACCTCTAGTCCGTTCCCTACAGATACACAGCCTCTTCCCCGCTGCCAGAGTGCCCATCCCATGGAAAACCCAGAGCTGACATGGCGCATCCCCTAGGAAAGCGGGGGCTGGTCTCCAGGGTTCACGGGCCTGGTTCAAGGTCCCCAAGCTGCCTCCTGGCTCTCAGCTGCCCTCCTGGCGCCCTTCCTGCGAGCCCCCGCGGGTTCTGTGAAGACCCAGCTCTGACGTCTGAACCCTGGCCAGGCTGCTTCCTGCCTTTGTGTGGGGGCTGCTGTTGTCCAGGGTTCCTGGAATGCCCTTCGATGGGTGGCCACGTCTGCTTTCCTCCCCACACCCTGCATCCTTGTGGAGTCACTTTTAAGAGCCAATGCTGGGCGCATTTCCATCAACACGTGGCTCCCGAGATCAAACTGACAAGATCAGATACGAAATGTGTGCGCGCGCGCCCTGGAAAGCAATGACGGGAGCAGGGAGTTTGCCTAATTGCGGAGGAACCTCAGTAGGGGAGTAAGCATGGTTGAACCGCGGAAAGAATGTGTCCCTAATGCCTGAATTGTACACATAGAGATGTCCAACGGTGGTCTGATTTTGTTGTGTATTTCCTCGACAAGAGCAAATGAAATGAAATGAAAACCACATCCTGGCGGGGGGGCTCCTTGTCCCCGCTTAGTGTCCCTTACTGCCAAGTGCTGCCCGTACCATCCCGTTCGTCTTAGGGGTGTGCAGTTGGTTACCCTCAGCTGCTTCCTAGCAGGGCATCGAGTCTCCAGATGGCAAGGACTGTGCCGGCCCCATAGGCTGTTTCTCTTTGAAATGTGTATCACTTCTACCTTCTTCTCACTCGTTGCTCTCACCCTTGAACTAGAAAGCACAGGCTGACGGGTTCTGGAATGGGGCCTGAGAACCGGCATCATTTCCAGCAAGCTGCCAGGTGACCCTGATGCCCCTGTGGCAAACCTGAAGCACCCCTCACTCCCAGAACCACAGCTGCTACTCCAACGTCCACCGCTGAGCACCTTGGTCTCCACCTGCACAGACGGGGAGCGTGGGGGGAGGCGGAACCTAATCCAAGAACACTCACATCTCCTGCAAGAGAGATGTTGTGACTGTGGCTGTTAAAATCGCATCTCCTGTTTGACACTGGCCTGTTAGCTGAGCCTCTTCTGGAAACAGGTCAGAAGGGAAGGACCCGAAGGAAGACTTATGACATAGCTGGTGGAAGCAGCTGTGTCAAGAGAGGCACAGAGGTGAGGGTAGACCAGGGCCCCATCGCCTCCTACTACCCACTTCCATGCCCCCGCTTCATACCTATGCTTGATTGCTACCCCAGACATAGCAAGTGAGAGCCCCTGAGAACTTGGCCCCACTTGCGTTTTACAAGAACTCCGTCACTGAGCCCTCATTCATCCCTTCGGGCTGAATGCCGTTCTCTCTGCTAGACCATCGCCAGCCTCCTGGGCTTCTTGGGCTCAATCACGGCCTTTCTTCTGGGCTAAGTCTTGCCTGCTGTCTGATTTGCGTTTCATTTCTTATATTTCTCAAGACTGATAAGTGCATCGAACACCAGGAGTACCGTTTAGCAGATAATGAATTGAGCACAGGTGCAACTTCCGCCCAGGTCCAGCACAAGAACCTGGGCGGCGCCCCTGAAGTCCCCGCCCACACCCCTTCTTCTCACTGGCCTGCTGAGATTCCCTCTGCCCGCACCTCTGTAGTGACAGCTCTGTGTTTCCATATCTTGTTGCCACCTACGACTCACATGTCCCTGGGCACCAGAGCATCCTTTCATGTGTGTATGAGCTTCGTGTATCAGTGGCACTAGGTGATGTGTATCTGTGTGTCTGTGTCTATGTGTGTGGCAGGCTTCACTCAAGTTTCAGATGGGCCGTACTTCTGAGTCTTTCCATGATTGATGAGGTTGCTGTCTTTTTCTTTCTCCACTCACGTGTCCCCACTCACCATTCCACAAGGGAGCCCTGGCACAGCAATGGTTACCCCACGACAACTCTAAAGGGTGATGGTTCGAACCCACTGTCTGCTCAGCAGGAGAAAGATAGCGCAGCCTTGGAAATCCCATGGGGCAGCTCTAGTCTGACACTCGGGTGGCTGTGACTTGGAATCAACTCAACAATAATGGGTTGGGATGTTTGGGGGTACCACCCCCGTACACCTCAAGCCATGCAAAAGGATTCAGTGTAGTGGTATAATCTATAAGGAAATCCAACAATTTGCATATTTACGCCAATATAAAACCAGGAGAGAAGGCACCCATTTGCAGGAAGCCTTTTTATTTGAAAAGGTGATGCAGTCAGCCCTCGCTCACCAAGGCCTCCGTGTCTTCTGGAGTGCTATTTGCATATGATAAGTAATGTGCTGTTTACACTTGATAAGTAATCTAAAGATCATTTAAATATAGGTGAGGAGGTGTATACCCTATGTGCAAATGCCATGCCACTTTATGCAATGGGCTCTTGAGCATCCTCAGAGGCCTGTGTGCTGTGGGTGTGCTGGAGCCAGTGCCCAGGGGAATGGAGGGATGGCTGTCCGTGCACATAAGTCCTCATCATAAACGGCATACTGTGAAGAAGGAAGTCACTTCCCTGCCATTTCTCTCCAACTGAAGCCATTTCCTTTCCCAGAAAACAACTGTTGTCCCAGGTTTCTGGATGTTCTTCAGAGTGGAGGTGCCAGGGGAGACACACAGCTGGGTGTACAACTGAGCGCCTTTGTTTAATCTATAGAGGGACATAAACATAAGGGCCCTTGGTGACCCAGTGGTTAACCATCTGGCTGCTAACCAAGGATGGGCATTTTGAACCTACCTGAAAGAGGTGGGCACAGCCTTGGGAACCCTCTGGGGCAGTTCTACTCTGTCCTGGGGGGTCTCTATGAATCAGAGTTGATTGGACACATTTACTCATACACATAAAGGTTTGTTTACGTATGCATGCGTACAAGTGTGAGTTTGTGTTACGTATTCTCTGTTTCACGTAGCTGACACGAGATATGGTAGCCACCCTCTGCTTCTGGCCCTCTTGCAGCGTAATTTAGACACCCACCCTATCTGCCCGCAGAAAGCTGCCTCATTTTGGCTGAGTGCGCACGGCTGGTGTGTGGGTGTTTAACCGACTGTTCTCGGGAGGCAGCTGGGCGCTTTCTCATCGTTCTTGTAGACAGCACAGCATCGCGCAGCCCGGAAGTGTGTCATTTTGCCTGTACCAGAGTAGGTAGAGGGACGAGACATTAGGTAAGGTGACCAGATGCCCCGCTTTGGGCGGGACAGTCCCGATTTTTAACAATGTTTCCCACATCCTGAGGCGTTTTGAAAACGGTCCCAATTTTTGGAAAGAATGCACGACAAGCTAGGGTATATGGTTTTTGGCTGCCATGTAGCTATTTCTCCAGGATACAAGTTTTATCAATGGTGTCCCGCTTTTGTCCCGCTTCACCAATGTTAAAATCTGGTCACCTTATCCTAAGGGTAAAGTGGTGTATGAAATGTTGATGATGGTGCCTGTTGTGAACTGCCGTCATGCTGATCGCCCAACTCCCGGCAGCCCCTCCTGCCCAAGGGAGCAGCTCCTTGGCTGGCACTGAGTCCCCAAACAGCTCTCCTTCAGAAGGCTGAGTTCTCCACTGCCCTTTCAGCCCCGTGTTTCATCGAGCCCTTTGATCTTTGCCAAAATCTCGGATAAAAATCAGTAGCTCCCTGGTATCCTGAATCGCATTCCTTTTATGTACGCAAGCACCTTCTCATCTAGCTAAGCGCTCTTTGAATTTCCTTTTGTATGGCTTTCTGATCAGGTTGGAAGGCCAATTTCCTCCTCTGTATTTTTTTTCCTTCATTTTTTTATTTTAAACTTTGGACTTTTTTGTTTTTTACTGTGAACGTCAGGGGCTCTTGATTTTCTTGTTCAAGCCATGCTTACATGGGCCGTGGCGCAGCTTTAATGTGCCTCAGTGCTCAATGAAAGATGGCAAGTTCAACCCAGAGGTACCACGGGAAAAAGGCCTGGCAACCTACTGCCTAGAATAAATAAATTAATCAATGAACAAATATATATATCACAGGTGTGGTCACCAGGAGGCAGAATTGAATCGCTAGCAACTGAAAAGAAAGAAAATGCCCTGTTAGCAATTGGTAAAGTTACAAGAGATGCTAATTCTCGACTTGTTTTGCCCATTGCCCATCCCTCACAAATCTGATTCGTGCATTTTGCAGACTGTATATGGCAAGTCAAAGCAAACGATCGCAGCTTCCACGAACAGCCCCATTTCATGAACACCAAGTTCTTCTGTATCAAGGAGAGCAAATACGCGGTAAGTTGGTTCTAACGTCCCCATCACCTTCCTGGGAAGCCAGCGCTCTCTGCTTCTCCATGTGCTTGCTGTCCCTGCCTTCGCGGTCCTGGCCTGAGACCACTCAGAGTTCTTGTCGGTTCTCAGAACGCTACTTTCATTCCTCCCCGGCAGTTTAACTGCCCTGAGCGCAGGGTGACTTGAACACACCCGTGTGTGTGTGTGTGTGTGTGTGTGTGTGTGTGTGTGTGTGTGTAATTCCCCTAGGCTCAGGGTCCATAACTCTATTTAGAATGCTTTATGCCAGAATTCTACTGATGCAGCAGGAGTCTTATATTTGAAACAAATGCAAAGTTTGAAAATGGTGAGTCTGAAAGGGACAAGAGTGGTTTCTTCTCTACCTCTTTCCCTGGGGTGGATTGAATGACTTTGGTGATCTTTTCTGCCTCAAGACCTGTTTCGTATACTGCTAGTTTCTTACACTAGTAGTTTCTTACATTAGTAGTGTACCTGCTTATTACACCCCACAAAGGGCTTCTGACACTTTATGAACACCTACCTTCAAGCGTGGGCTAAATGTTGTCAGAACTTGCAAAGGTCTTTTGTAGTTTTTCTTGCAGAGTAGCTCCCAAACCAAAAACACAACACAAACAAACAGAAAGTCCACTCGCTGCCATTGAGTCGAGTCCCACGCAGCGCCGCGCTGCAGGACAGGGGAAGGGTGCCCTGTGGGTTTCTGAGGGTAAATCTTTGTGAGAGATTAAGAAAGCCTCAGCTCTCTCCTGGGGAGCAGCCTGGTGGCTTTTAACGGCTCATCTTGCAGTTAGCAGCCAGCACGTCACCCACATCACCACCCAGCCTCCGGAGTAGCTCCAAACCCCCTTTACAGAGAGTCTCTCTGTGAGAAAGACTAGCGTTCTTGGTTCTTAAGGGCTTATCTTCAAACAAGCAGCCAGCTGAGTAAGGTGAGCTAAGTCACAGGGAAGACGTGTGCTAAAAGTAAACTGTTAATAATTGAAAAATAAGATCATGAGAATATTGACAGAATGTAAAAAATAACCAATATCTGTAAGCATCACGTGTAGAATTGTTGACCGAGCCAGGGTGGGGGGCGGGGATGGAAAACGGTATGTCTGCTTTGGCCAAGTCCAACCGCATCTGCCCCGGAGGGTGCCAGGGACAGCCAACTGGAGTCTAGCACACATCTCTCCCTTTTTCTAGGAGGCTCTATCGGGCTAAAGGCTTGGACAGGGCGGGGAGGGGTGGGGGCAGTCCTAGAACTGGCTTGATAGCACAACTCCTTTTAAAGGTGATTCAACCATGGGGGGGCGGTGTGTTCTAAAAATGATATGGTGATGATTGCACAATTCTCCTTGATATGGTGGCACTAGTAAAGTCTGTGGTGTGTAAATTAAGTGCCAATAAAACTGTTTTTTTTTTTAAGCTGACAGGATTTTGTACAGGTCTGATTTCCTAGGGGCTTTTTTGAAAAATGGATTTTAGCAGTTTTATTGACATGAGATTCACATGTCATACAGTTCAATCGTTGAAGCATGTTTAAACAAGTTGTGCTATCATCACCACAATCCACTTTAGGACACTTCCTTCTTTCTTGTAATTATTCTTATTAGCTCCCCATATCCCCCCAACCTCCCTGCCATCACATTACCCAGAGACTTTTGGAATAGAAACCTTCAGGTAGTCATCTGGAGGTTTCCTTAGGACGAGAAGCTTCAAGGAAATCTGGATATTCTGTCCCTGTCTCACGGTAGGCCGTGGGCCGTAGTGACTTCTGCAGTTGTGTAGGAGGAGCCCTGGTAACGTAGTGGGTTACCTGTTGGGCTGCTCACTGTAAGGTTAGGAGTTCAAAACCACCGACCACTCTGAGAGACCAAAGTGAGGCTCTCTATTCCCATAAAGAATTGCAGTCTAGGAAACCCACAGGAGCAGTTCTGCCCTGTCCTGTACGGTTGCTGTGAGTCAGAACGGACTCGGTGGCAGTACTCTTGAGAACCCTGGTGGGGTAATGGGTTAAGCCTTGGGCAGCTGAGGGCGAGGCTGGTGATTCAAGCCCACCAGCCGCTCCTCCTCCCGAGAAAGGTGAGGCCATCTCCTTTGGTAAAGAGTTACAGTCACGGAAACCCAGCAGAGCAGTTCGACTCTGTTCCGAGGGCTTGCTGAGTCTGAGCGAGGTGGAAGGAGGAAGGGTGGGGTCTCTGGAGACTGTCGTGGTCATGAGGGTGCATAGCATCATTGAGGGTGACTTTTCTTTTTCCCAACAGACCAATGCAATTAAAACGTACAAGTACAACGCGATCACCTTCCTGCCTATGAATCTGTTTGAGCAGTTTAAGAGAGCAGCCAATTTCTATTTCCTGATCCTGCTGATCTTACAGGTAATGCCCTTTGATATTTGAACTCTGATTTGAATTGTGGTGACTCACAGACACTTTAAGGTACAGAAGTCTGTGGTTCCCACCCATGTCCAAGCTCGGAATGTTGGCGTCAGGATTGCCCGGGCTGAAGAACAAGCGCGTCAGACACAGAACCAGCTCAACACATAGTCAAGGAACCGGGGAGCGAGCAGAATAGCTTTGGATTTTATGTTGATTTCACACAGATGTGTGTGTGTTGAAACTGGCTTTCCTGAAAGTGCCTAAAATTAGAACACGGCTTTGTAAAAGTACTTATACCTTTTAAGTTATTGGCTGTGCTTGCCTTCATGGTTTGTGGAATAGGTGTCTCATTTCCTCAAGACAAGTATTCATTCTTGTTCATATTCTGGTCAAATACCTCAAGGAAACTGCTTTTGTGAGCTGGGTTTTACATTGGAAAGGTCAATTGTATGCCTGAGGGTTCCCCACCAGCTCAACCGTAATTTGACTGAGTTCACACATCTGAAGAGCATCACACACACACACACACACACACACACACACACACGCACTGCATACGTTGCCAGCTGTTTAGGAATGGTTACAGCCATGGGCCCTTGGCACACTCCAGTTAGTGCCCAAAGAACCAGCCTTTAGCATTGGGCATGCAGGTTACAGAGGCTCATGTAGCCACTTTGTTGTATCAGAGTCTTTCCATCAAACGTTGGGATTTGGAAAGCAATTTCCCCCTGCCCCAGCTACTAAACCCTCTCAAGTTTTAGGAAAATCGTACGTCGCGTGCAGCTGGGTGGGGTTGTAGGGACCCATGAAGTGGAGAAGAGAGAGAAGTGGATAGTCAGCAGATTTCATAGAACGTAGGCTTGCTGAAATCTCCTGGTCTTACTGTCCGTGGGAATGATTCAGACACAGGCTCGTGTCGAGGCAAACATTCTGTGTTGTGAGGTGTAGTGAGTGGGCCCCCTTTCCCCCACCCCCACCCCGCTCCCTTCTAGCCAAGGCGGGTTCCTCCTATTCTTTGATGTCAAGAACATGAACTATCTAGGCGAGGCAAATTCTCAGAGGCAGAAAGTAGGTGACTGTTACCGGGTGCTGGGAGCGGGATGGGGAGGCGAGGAGTTATTGCTGAAAGGGGACCGTGTTTCTGTTTGGGGTGGCGAAGAGGTTGTGGTGATGTTTGTAGAGTTCAGTCAAAGTAATTGATGCCACCGAATTATCCACTTAAAAATGCTTCACGGGATCCGTCTTAGATATAGTTGACCATCAAAAATTTTTTTAACTTTTTGGAAGAGAGATTACCCACATTACAGAACAAGGATGAAGGCTTCAAAAGAGCAAACAAACAGATTACAGTTCCCTTTTAGGTATCATATTACAAAGTCATACCTGTGTCCAGGTAAGAGCGCAATGAGAAGTGTCAGAAGCCACTGGCCCAGGCTTCCCTCCAGCTGCCCAGAAGCCAGCGAGAATAATCTGTTGGAGGGAGGCTGGCTGGTATGGGAGGCACCTTTTCCAAGGTGTCATAGAGGATGCAGATGTGTATGATCATTGGGAGTACACTTAGAGTGAGCCGTCAGGTCCCAGTGGGTCCTTGAACACATCTACATATGGTTTTGTTTTGCTTTAAGGCAATTCCTCAAATCAGCACGCTGGCCTGGTATACCACCTTTGTGCCTCTGCTCCTGGTACTGGGCATCACCGCCATCAAAGACCTGGTGGACGATGTGGTAAGGGCCTTTCCACCCTGTCTTCAAGCTCATTGTGATTTGGCAGTAATGGCTGGCGTTTGGAGATTATTGAAGTAACACTTGCCTGTCTCCCTTTCAAAGGCTCGCCATAAGATGGATAAAGAAGTAAACAACAGGACGTGTGAGGTCATCAAGGACGGCAGGTACGGTGCCTTCTCTGTTACCGGCTTAGGATGCCATCGAGCCAACTCCAGCTCATGGCGACCCTGTAGTCAACAGAACACCACGTTACCTGGCCCTGCACCATCGTCACAGCCCTTCCTGGGTGTACTAGAGTCCACTGGTGTCAGCCATGGTGTATTCTGAGTGACTTCCAACCCTGGGGGTCGCGTCTTCTAGAACTCTTTTGGACCATCTTTCACTGTGATTTATAGAGCTTTCATTGGTTAATTTTCTTATTTATTGGTTTTTATTTTATTTTTTTGTTAATTTCCAGTAGCAGACAACAAGGCCTTAATTTCTAATCGTAGCTTAGTCTGGAAGCTCCACCAAAGGTTACCCTCTGTGGATGATCCTGCTGGTCTTTGAGATATTGGTGGAAGAGTTTCCAGTACCGTAGCAGCGCATGCGCCACTATGGTCCAGCTAAAGATGAGTGGTGGGTCACTTAGTTTCAAGAATACATGAATATGCTTAGAGACCTGTTTAGGGACAATCATCTGACTAAGAAATCTATGGGTACACAAACCATCTCATTATAAAGACCTCCCTTAACTTACGAAGACCTTGTATCCTCCTTGTAGCCTAGTGGCTCTGTCTCAGTGCATTGTGGGGAGTCAGTTGCCTGCTGGGGCTCTTGGGTTATCAACACACCCTGTGTTTGCACAACTCCCTCATCGCATCTCTCTTGTTACCTGAGTTCCCTCTCAAGGCTTTGCTCACAGGTCTTGATATCTTCCCCAATTCTCTAGCTATGCTGACTTCTCCCTTCTCTGAACCTTCAGTGTTTTCTTTTCCTCTTATGATCTGCATTTTATTATAATTATGTGTGTTAGCGTCTCATCTCTTGTGGACTCTCAGTTTCTCCAGGAGACTGTCTGACAGCATTTGTCTTTGTCTCCACCGGAGCCTCCACCACATCGGAGCCTCTACCACACAGAAAAGACTCAACCAGCGTTTGTTAAGTTAATGCCACCAACCGTGACCACAGTCCTAATTCAGCAAGAGCCTCCGGCAGAACTGTAACTTCCAGGGTTAAAAATAGAGGCTCTGGCACCATCCAAAGACTGTTTGAAGGTCAACACAAGAGAAAAATAACCCAATATACAGCCACATGGTAGCAGTGTCTATTTTTAACATGGACAACTGTTTTCCTCACATGCACAGGCACAAAATAGACTGTGTTTCAGATATTCCCTTTTGAGTCACTGAGAATCAGTGTGGTGAACACTGGTGAGAGTCAGGTCAAGCCCACAGACCACCGTCAGCCCACGATATTGACAAACTATCCTGGTAAAGGGTAGCCCTGAGTTGTCTCAAATGGGGGGTGATGGTGGTGGTTGGTATATGCATTGTCAGGGCTGTGGTCTCAGAAGCCCCCACGGTGGAGTCAAGCCTGTGTGAGGACGGGCACAGGTGTTGATGGCACTCCATCTAGGGAAACCACATCACAGTACAAGAGTGCCAGCCACGCTGTCCCCACCAGTCCAAAAGAGCTCTGAGAAGAAGATGCTAATTTGTTCATTCATCATTTGAGCCCCATTTGCAAACTTGTCATTCCAGCTATTGAAATGCAAACTACTATAATTTCCTTTACTCAAAGATATGCTGCATTTGACTTAATTCTAGTACAATTGGGAAAGTTAAGACATAAGTGTGTGTTTTAAATCTCTCAAGTCCTCTCACTTTTCCCCTCTTCTATACATTAATGGGAGGTAAAACCTAGCAATTGGATTTCTCCTCCCCCCCCCCAAAAAAAGATACAGGTTTAGTTGGGGGGTTGTTCCTTGTTCTGTTAGGGGTCTCTCATCTTTACCTGGCCATCTTTAAAACAGGACTATATTTTAAAATGTTAAAATATATATATATTGATATTGTTTTGGACATTTAGATGTGTCTATTCTATAGCTCCTAGGACTGAAGATGGTAATCCTGAGTTTATCGCACTTCTTCCCAGCATCCTTATTGGATGTATTGCAGCAGTGACATCTACAGCAGCCTATAACCAATAGAAACGTTTCCTTTTTTACACCCCCTTTTCCACATTGGCTCTTGCAAGGTAACAGTAGCTGGCAGGTTAATCTGCAGCCTTCCAGAATTCTTTGCTATATACAAACATGGCCCTTTTTCATATACACACAAAAATCGTGATAGGTATCGATAGCATCGACTGTTCTATGTTTGCTTTTTTGACCTAGGATATCCTAGACAGAAGATTGCAGACCTGACTTCTCGTCAAAGTGTCTCCTATGTCTTTCTTAGCCTATAAATGGCCTCCTAACGAAGGTTGGAATCATAGATATCAGGAAGCTTGCTGACAAGCAAAGGAAATCTACCCTTTAAACACTCTCTTCTTGTCTGGGAGAAGACAAGGGTGCCGTTGTTGTAAAAAGCATCCTTCCTTGATCGACGGGTCAACAAGAATGTTGGCAGGTCTGCTGTGTAAACGATGAACAAGTTTTGCAAGGTAGAATATTAAAATGAGGAACACGTCAGAGCGTTGCACCTGCTGGCCAGCTCAGAGGTCACTCACCGAGGAGCTGAGCACGTCGGTACTGGGTCAGCTTCCTCCGATGCTGAGAACCAGGGAGCTGGGAGGCCCTCTGGCAGGACCAGTGATCTACAGGGCACAGTGCCCAGACGTGATGAAGATGTCCAGAGAGACCCTGGTTTGTTGAGATCAGGCTGTCATGGTGGATGCTGGCCAGGGGAAGTTAGAGACAGAAAAGGCACACGAGGGCTCAGGAAACCCATGTTGGGGCTGTTACATATTCCTGCCCTGAGCCTGGCACTGAGCAGGTGACAGGTAACCGAGAGGCACACAAACTGAGAGAATGAGGGCAGGATAGGAGCACAGCCGCAGAAGGTGGCACGGACGTATCTCCCTCCCTGGTAAAGCCTTCATCCCGTTGACTAGTGTCGTATGGAAGGAACATTGGCACTCGGGGGAGGGCCCCGAAGATGCTGAATTCATGTTTCTGAATAAGCGGAGTTTAACAAACAATTCCACAACATCCAAGCTCTGTGACATTGATCAAGAAGAGGCTCGGCTGGTGCTATCTGCTCGTGTGTGATCAGGGTCTTGGCAGGAAGCAAATTCGAACTTGGACCCTGAGGGGAAGAGATATTAATGAAAGGACAGTGGGCAGAGGTGTGGGCAGAAGCCGACCCGGGATGCTGTGTCCTCAGAACTGCAGGAGCTTAGAAGCCATGACCACCTTAGTGGTCTTAAAGGACCACCGGGAAGAGATGGAAGACAGAGTATTCCAGAGCTGTGGAGGAGGGCTGCCCTGAATGGATGCTCCTGAATGGCAGCAGCCACGACCGACCAGAAATGCAGCCAGCCAAAGAAGGGAGAGTGAAAATTAGCACGCTCCTTCTGCTCCTACCTCCCAGCCTGCTTTCTCTGTCCCCTTTTGGCCAAACCAGAACTGAGCCAGATGGTTAGGGGGCCACAGAGGACCTGGGATGCAAGCTCCCTGTGGAGCTGGACCGAGCAAAGCCAAGAATGAAATGACCAGTATACCACCCTCCCTGTCGTTGTCATGGCCAGGTGGCAAAGGCCTGTGCATTGCCAAGTGCTTTACAAACTGTAAGGTGACTGTATTCTTAGGAAGACTGAAGTAGCCACCATCCTCTCCTTTCAACCTTAACAGGATTCTAAGAACCCCGTATGTGGCTGCCTCATGAAATGGCTGAATTGTTAACAAATGTTTTCCCTGCGATTGCAATGTTTCCCAGCAGGTTGGCCATGCACGAAAGCACCATGCCAAGGTCTTTCAGAAGTCAGACAGCATCTGTTATTTTTCACCCTCAGGTTCAAAGTTGCCAAGTGGAAGGAGGTTCAAGTGGGGGATGTCATTCGGCTAAAGAAAAATGATTTCATTCCAGTAAGTGGTCGAGTCTTCCCTGGTCTCCCCACTGTGACCTGGCACCCTCCCGTTTCCCTTTGGGAGGGTCTCTTGTGATGGGTGTGTTTTGTTTTAAACAGGCTGACATCCTGCTGCTGTCCAGCTCCGAACCTAACAGCCTCTGCTACGTCGAAACGGCTGAGCTCGATGGGTAAGCCGCGCTTGGTTGGGCCAGACCTTGGAAGGCACCCTGGTGATTACAGTGAGTGGGGTGTCTGCCATCTAGAAAGAGGCCAGATCTGGCCGGGCCTTTGTGGCGTGCTGGCTGGCTGGCTCTCTTTTTTCTTCCATCAAATGCACTTCTCAAGATCTGCCTTTCCCAGAGAAGGAAAAAGGGTGACCATAAGGGTGCCTGTGTGAGCCCTTTATAAACCACCGAGCCGTCTCCAGACAAACACATGGCTCTTAGTGGCTGTTTCCGTGAAGAGAACAGAATTTGGAAATCTTTGTTGGTTTGTTGGTTTGGGTCATTGTATACTACCACTGAATGGCAATATGTAGTTTGGGTGTTGCCCCGTTTTTAATGTATTTATTGAGTGCTAGCTGGTTCACAGTCACTTCATGTCTTTGGGCTCATGTAACCTTCTCAACAACCCTGTGAGGCCCACATGAGCACCTCGACTTTACCGATGATGAAACGGGAGCACTGGGTGGGGGGTGAGGTCAGGCAGTGTCTTAGTTGTGTTGTTTTTGCTGTTAGGTGCTGTCAAATAGGTTGCAATGCATCGTGACCCCGGGTACCGTAGAACAAATACTGCCAGTGCTGTGCCACTGTTGTTATGTGGGAGCGCATTACGGCAACCACTGTGTGAAGCCATCTCCTTGAGAGGCCTCCTCTTTTTCAGTGACCCTCCATGTTATCGGGCATGCTGTCCTCTTCCAGGGATTATTCTCTCCTGAGAGCAAACCCAAAGTATCTGAGATGAAATCTCACCACTCTCACTTCCGGGGAACAGTCTAGCTGTACTTCTTCCAAGACAAACGTGCCTGTTCTTTGGGCAGTCTGTGGTTCTGTAAACATTCCTCATCAACACCTGAGTTCAAGTGGACTGATTTTTCTGGTCTTCCCTATTCATCATTCAACTCTCACCTGAAAATAAGGCCATTCAGATACCACTCATCAGGCGCACCTGTGTCCTCAGGATGACATCTTTGCCCTTCGACACTTTTTCCCCCCTTCAGCACTTTAGAGAGGTCTCATGAAGCACATTTGCTCGATGCAAGAGGACAGCTGATTTCTTGAGACTGCTTCTGTGAGCATCCACCAAGATGAAATCCTTGACAGCTCAGCTTCAATCTTGTCTCCCTGTACCATGATGTTGTCCCTTGGCCCAGTTGGGGGCATCTGGGTTCTCTGGGTGCTAAGTTGCAATCCTACTGAAGGCTGAGTCCTTGATGTCACCAGCAAGCGCTTCAAGTCCTGCTCACGGTCAACAAGCAGTGTGTCTAGTCCTGCCATAACCAGACACCACCAATCGGGTGGCTTGAACAAGTCAAAATGGAGTTTTGCCCAGTTTGGGAGGCTACAAAGTACAATTCAGAGTTGCAGCTGAAGCGGAAGGCTTTCCCTCTCAACCGTCTCTGGAGGAAGGTCTTGATTTCTCCCCCTTCTGTTGCCCAATTCCTTGGAGCTCCCCATGTCTCTTGACATCTATCTGATTCTGTCTCCATTTCCTCTTGCTAATTGAATCTTCTTTGTATTTCAAATAAGAACCCTTGGTGGCATGGGATCCACATAGGGCTGCTACCCACAAGGTCAACAGTTCAAAACCACCAGCCACTTCTGAGAGAAAGATGAGGCTGGCCACTCTAGTAAAGATTTGCAGTCTGGGACACCCACGGGGTAGTTCTCTGCCCTATGGGGCACTTTGAGTTTGTGTGGACACAGAGAGGGACTCAAGACACACCTACGCCAGTCCCGTCTCATTAGCATAACAAAGGAAGCCTATTCCCAAGTGGGATTCCAGCCCTAGCTATAGAGATTATGATTTACAATGCATATTTGGGGGGAACCCAATTCAGTCCATAGCAAACAGGAAGTGCCCAATCAGGTTGCTGCTCCCTGGGACTGCCTCTCAGGCCGGTCCTGTGTTTGCCACTGTAACATTAAAGCTCTTTTTCTCATACCCTAGGGTGTAGGGTAAACGTTGGACTGCTGACCAGTGGTGGTGGTGGTGGTGGTGGTGGTGGTGGTGGTGGAGGTGGTGGCAGTTCAAACCCACTAGCCACCTGAGGGAGGAAGCTGAGACTGCCTACTCTTATAAAGATATGCTGTCTCAGAAACTCAACAGGGTCACTATGAGTCAGAACAGACTTTATGACATTGAGTTCGGGTTTTGATCTCTGACCAACCTTGCCAATTTGTATGTATTTCACGCTTCAGAGTCCAGTCAGTAATCCAAATTCCCCAATCGGTCTCCTGAGAAAGGCTGAGGCAGGGCTTTGAGGGAGACCAGTAATGTTGGAAGGACTCTAACAACAGGTCTGGTTGCTATGATTGACACGCACATACACACACTACCACCACCACCACCACCACATGCTCCTCCACCACCACCA